TTTTTGTTTATAAATATTACTTTATGTCAATTAAAAAGCCAGATTCATTTTTGTTAATAAATTTCAATATGCTTTAATACTAAAAGAAGAAAACAAATATGTAATGTTTATGTGTATTGAATATAAATCTATTTCCATCTCGTGGTTGTCATTCTGTAATATTTTTTGTCCATTTCAACCTGCTATCTCTCGTGATCTCGTCATGTGCCCGGTCCAGCGCCATTTCAATTGCCTTATTTTCTTTATAAAGATTATTTAACAGTAACGGCATTTAAATACACTAAATACTGATTTACTATACGCTGCAATATTTATATAATTAATGGTGGATTGGAGAATGGAGGACATGGAGAATTCAAGGTTTAAGCATCTGATTAAAATTTCTAAACAACGGTTAATATCTGGGGGCATTTAATACTCTTATCTAAGCCATTAGGAATAGAATTTCTCTAAGTACAGTCCTGTTTAATACCTGTACGGGACAGTTTACCATCAATTTGCATTAAGGACCTGGCATCTGTAAAAGTTAATAGCCCTTACAGTGGTGATACACGATCGTTTCCAAATAGCGTTATTTTCGTTTTTTGTTTGTAAATTTTCGTAATTTCAGTAGGTATTGAATTGTTTGCCATCTTTGATGTAAGTGGGTTGGTTCGATGCCTAAATTATGGCTGGTTCTCCTCCTTGATCTTGATGACTCAAATCCAAGCTTTTTTTTTAATTCTAAAGAGAATTTTCTTAACTATTTAACAAGATCTTTAATATTCCTGTTACATTGTACAAGTCATACATCTCCTTATAATATCTTGTAATAAACCTTATATTACAGGATATTTAGAGGTAGTTGACAGATATATAGTAACCTGTCATATGCACTGCCTTATAAAATTAGGTGAGATCCTGGTTGCTTAGCGACTAATCGTCCTTTTACAGTCACCCTAACGGTTCGTATGAAATCAGCGGTTATAATTAGCATTCGCATTAATTTTACGACAACTTGGTAAACACTAAACACGATGTTAAAAATTACTTTTATGTTCACGCTCTGCTGTGAAATCGTTGAATGTTTAATTTTAACTATATCTACCGTTTTAGTAGCCATTTTAATTATTCGTTTATTTTATGTACTAGGTAGTTAAACATCAATAATTTTTTTTAGGATTTAGTGTCCGGAATGTTGCCAGTGTAATTTTGAGGTTTTACCCCTACTACCCTTTCAAAAGTCAAAAATCATTTATTCATATAGGTAACACAATATACACTTATGACCATCAAAAAAGAAATATGCATGAAATTCTTCTAATTTTACATTTACTGCCAGTTCTCAAATCAAGGGCGTACGGAAAGAGAAGGGAAGAGAAGAACTGGCAATAAACTCTCCGCCATTCTTTTTAATCGCCAAGTTTTTTGTTTTACACAACGTTTGGAAGGAGCTGCGACTATTACACCATGTTCCACATGACATCTTAAGAAATAAATAATAATAAAATAAATTAAAAACAAAGATTCGTCCTCTATCAGCAGGAGGCATGGTGAAATAGGAGCACGTACTTACATTCTCGTGGGACTTTAAAAACACATATCTCCCACCACGAGAAATATGGCTAAGTTTTATCAAGAAAAGAGGGTACCTTCAAAGCCCGGACGAGCTTACAGACCTTTCTCAATGTCAATAGGCGATTGTCATTTAACATCCTGCTCTTTCGTTTCTGTATAAAAAAATAGATTAGCTATCATTACGGAAATTATCCATGCTTTAAATCAGTGTCAACGAAACCTTTTATAAAGATACAATTCCCCGCTATATCGAACACTCCTTTCAACGCCTACGAGCAATCCGCTAATATTTAGGTTATGATAATAAATCTGCTTAGCTGTCTTTACACTTACGTACATTTACAATCTGCGGAGAACACATAAACCTATCGGAACAGGCGTTGTCCTCGGCTAGAGAGGGCATTCCATCCCATTCACAGTACGCTTGAATGCCTGTGTCCCGCTACTCCGAAATTATTGCCAGACTGTCGTATGGGAACATTACATAATCGTTAATGGGCATAAAACAAAATTGCATCGTTTGCATTGCCGCATTTCGCTACATTACGCTACTAACGCACGCTACTTTACATACATTGCGAATAATGCGAGCAGTGTACTGCATTCGATATTACCATACGCAAACGCAGGGTTGCGTAATATCAGCGCTCGCGATCCAATGTCAAATTAGACCATTTCTGGACGGGAAAGCCGTACAATAAATCTGGTTTGTCTTTACGTCTCATTGGCTGTGATTAATAAAGTTTGATATACGCTTATGAAGCGAACATGCCGACTCAATTTAATTGGTTTCGTTAACGTGTTTTACGTGAAATTTATTTTCACTTTTTCTGCTTCGTTATTTTTGGCGGGCTTTCACCGCGGCTCCCGTTGCGATTAATGTGTGGGGATCTGTGCAGTCGTGCGAGTATGGGCCCGATCGATATTGGCGATAGCGTTTCTATCGATAACCCGAACGAAAGTAACGTTGAGAGCACAATGAGCTTTTGGAAGCTTTCTAATAATTAAAACCGCGTTTGTTTATTCAACGCGTTCTTACAATATCTTAACCGCGCCTAGTTGCATTGAGCAGGCGCATCGGGTCAAACGTGGTGATAAATATTAAATTACTTATTACCTACGATTAAACAGGTCCCAGGCAGGGTTCAGTGGGCCTCCATTTCATACACTCTGCAGTTTATGTCCCTCGTAAAGCGATAATCATTTCAATAACATTTAGCTGCTATACAATCTGGTATAGGCCTGTGTTTGCGATACGGTAATTGTCGAGATAACTACTTATTATTTATCTTAAGTAAGGATATTTTTAGATTTTATAAAGTCTACGATATATTTTATGAGAAGGCTGTGGAAGTCGATGCTTTGTTCTGTATACGGCAAAAAAATGTGAGCCGTCACGGGACGCCTGGCAGATGTAAAACATCGACATTATTTTGTAAAAGTTATATGCAGAAAAGAACAGATTGTGATAGGAACTAAATATGTCATAATGATAAAATAAAATATTACGATTTTTTTCCAGATAACGATGACTATTTATTGAATAAACATTTATTTTCATTAAATACAAAAATTTACGAATTTATTTCAAATCGTGACTACTTAATTCGTTTAATCAGTGACTTCGAAATACACACACCGTACACACTACTGCATATAGACTGTATATATATACCATCATATAACGCCTCGCCACGGCATGCGTCGCCACGCCAGAAATCGGTTTTACGTGCGGCTATAGATGTTTCATATCAAAAAAATGTAGTATCTAATTTGACTGTATAATATTGCTGATTATTATATAAAGATATGACTTCTATGCATTAGCGTATGATAGTAGTAACAATAAAATACTTCGATAATTGCTGTATACGAAAATACATTAAAATAAATTATGTAAATGCATTAAACTCGAATGAATGTTTAAAAAATTCCTTGTAAATTATGTTAATTTAAATTTACGTCTCCAAAATAACACGTACAAATTGAGTTCTTTACTTTTAATTATGACTACTGTTAATTTAACCTTTCGAGTACTTTCCGCTAAATGTTAACCCTTTGTAAGATCCCGTAAGGCTAAACAACACGTGGTAGCATTTTGGCGTCTGTTTTTTCTTCAACCCCAAAATTATTTTTTTAAATCGGGATACAACAATTATAAGTTATCTTCGCTTACAATTAAAGCGAATTGATTCCTAATAATTACGTGCACAAACGTTTAAAACATTAAATAAAAAGTTTATCTATAGACCTCATCTTTAAATATAGCCTCATTTATAAAAATTTCTTCTTCTTCTTTTAGTACCTCTCCATTACCGCCCAGGTTGGCCGTCATTCTCTTGAAGCGTGTCTTGTCCTGTGCCAGATGCAGCAACTCTTCCGCAGTTGCAAAACCCCTCCCCTCCCTAACGTTGCGAAGCCATGATTTCTTTCTTCTACCAATAAGCTATTTATTCTGGATTTTATCCAATTTAATAATTATTATTATTTATTTAATTATAAAATCTACAATACAAAGTTATAAAAAACATCCGTCAAAAGCTAAATCAGTGATATGTACTGTACTTAGTTTTTTAAAAGTGTTTTTTCGGTAAATTAGTCAATGAATTAATCATACATTCTAATTAATAACGATGGTAATGTAGTCTTAGTAAACGGAATTTTCACATAACGGTGCCGCAGCCTTTTCAATAATCCATAAGAGTTCGCCGTTTCATGCCGAATCGGAAATAATTCTGTATAGTAATTGCTAAATAGGATATTCAAAGGTTTATTAACATACAGACTTTCTAAACATCTGCATATTCATGATTTTCGTTGAAGTTTCCATTCGATTCATTGAGAACGGATACGCCTTTGCGTTACCCGGAAGGTTATTGCACCAAAAATAACAGAATCATAGTTGTCGCTATACTCAAAGGCTTTTAAATGGGGACGTTTGAATTATAGCTATCCACCGATGATATGAATTATACAGTGTTATTAGAAATGAGAAATCTATCTAAGCTCTAAGTTTAAGGCTTTTCTCTATCCGCTTCTCTATCTGTCTGTGGAGCATTAAAAGAAATCCATACCAAAATAAAATAAATCAGTGGCGCTACAACCCCTTTAGGTCTTGACCTCAGATTTTTTAATCTGTTTCATGATCATTTTTAAATCTAATAGGCAAGTAGGTGATCAATCTCCAGTGCCTGACACACGCCGTCGACTTTTTGGGTCTAAGACATGTCGGTTTCCTCACGATGTTTTCCTTCACCGTTCGAGCAAATATTAAATGCGCACATAGAAAGAAAGTCGATTGGTGCACAGCCGGGGTTCGAACCTACGACATCAGGTATGAGAGTAGCACGCTGAAGCCACTAGGCCAACACTGCTATAACAAAATATACTAATAGAAATATTCCTTGTTCCAGCCAGATACAGTCCCACAGGCGAGCATCGACATGACGACGGTCTTGGAAGTAAGTGAGGCAGACAGCGTGACAGGACATGCGCACAGTTTGGCGGTGACTGCGCCAGAACGAGTGACTTTTGTAAAAGGCACGTGCAGGGAAGAGGCGCGCTGGTGGGCGGATGTTTTGAGTGTCTATCCCAGAAGCAAGGTGAGCAAAATATTCTATAAAGGCAAACTAGCAAGAGATTGAACTGAGTGCTGCTTGCGATTACCGTTTTTGTAATATAATTTAAGTTAACTCGCGCGTTAGTTTCAACTACACAACCTGTAACTTAAAGCTGACTTGGGCCCATTTTTTATTAAAGTTATTGTGTTTGTATTTCTTTTGCATATATGTGTGCTTTAGTCAAATAAAAGCTTTTTCTTTCTTTCTTTCAATATGAATACAGAACTATACTTTTAAATAAGACTTTTTACCGGATATAAAATCGAATTTAAAACAGCGATAGGTACTACGATTGCTGAAAATCACTCGAAACGTCGAGGAATGTAAATAATGTAATTTGCGTATATATCCGTTAAAGAAGTTATATATACACAAGATTAAAGAAAGATATACACACACACACATTTATTGCATTAACCTCATTGGGAATTTAAACCAGTAATGCTATCCATGAGTCAATCACCGAAGTATTTAATTAGTATAAGTTTTGGCTTAGGTATCATATACCAAAGTGTATAGGTGATGTAGGAGTACTCACGTAATACAACTGTTGTTCCACTTAACATAATTTAAAATAAGAAACATTTATCGAAGCCTACATTGAAATATTGACCGGAACTGAAATGATATAATCGTGAATGCGACTATTACTAACGTAATTATTGGCTCATGGGCAATTTATCGGCCAATATCTGATTCCGCGGAAGTCCAAAATATGGTCTTCAACGATCTAAGTGGTGGCAAAGCGGTGGATAATAAGACGTTTGGTTCGAGAGCGGCGCGTGCGCAAATTGCAGGTCGACGCTGATGCAATATTCCGTGGGATTTAATTAACTTTGAATTACAAGTTGGTCATTTGTTATGTGATTGATACGCGTAATAAATCAATATTAAAATTAACTAAGAATATTATTTTAGTTTGCTATATAGACTCAAAAGATATTTTGTATCTGGATTTTAATACGAAAGCTGGCTTGGGTTATTCTCTTTTTTATATGAGACAAAAAATATGGAAAAAAATATTTAAAGTTCTACCTTGAGTATTAATATTTTAAATATAGTTTGCAGTAGAAAGACTCTGAGGTCGTAGGTTCGATCCTCGGCTGTGCACCAATGGACTTTCTTTCCATGTGCGTATTTAACATTCGCTGCGAACGGTGAAGGAAAATTTCTAGAGAAAACCTACTTGCTTATTAGATTGACAAATGTTCGTGAAACATATATAGAAATCTGAGGCCCAGATCTAAAAAGGTTGAAGCGCCAATTTCATAGTAGCGTATTAAAAAAAAACAGTCTATCCATACAAAGTAGTGAATGAAGTCATGAATGAAAGCGCAATCCGACGTAATGAGTCGTGCTCGTTCGATATTAATTTTGCGATACAAGAAATCGCTTATTTAAACGAACATTTCCTCGAAAGCCTTACTCAGATCCGGTCACAGTTGACTCATAAAGTCTTGGAAGCCAGTTTAGCATATGGAAGACAAGTGGTACAATATAGGGAGTATTGAAATTCTATATTGTGTTTAGTGACTACTGGAGGTCCTTTTCTTACGTTCCTAAATAAGATTCATGATGTTCTAGAAAAGAGCAGGTCAAATGTGTATAGTAAAAGTGAGGCTTTTGCCGAACCAATTGAATTCATACTATTAAAGTATTTTACCATACACACCAAGCAGGCTTAAAATTACTTTAAAAAAAAATGTAATGTAAATTAACACTAAATTTCGAAACCTAAAAACAGTAGAATAATCTTAGCAATACTCAAATGACTATTAATAATATACATGATAAGGTATAGACTCTGACTTACCTTCTATAAACCATATCGGACGTCAAGGCAGAACAAACATACACATACCATACATATACAAATTACCATCCGTATCACCTCGACGTCCATCATTCCACAACTGAGCGTTACTTAAAGCAGCTGCCCACTGAAGTATTTCCGAACCAATTCGACTTAGGTTCGGAAAGAAAAGGGGGTACCAATTGAAATGCCGGCAACGCACTTGCGAGCCTTCTGGCAATGTGAGTGTCCATGGGTATCACTTAACATCAGGTGAGCCTCTTGCCCGTTTGCCTCCTATTGCATAAAAAAACGGTTGACTTTTGTTAAAGGAGTTATATTAGCTAGTTTAGATTTACTACTATATATTACTTGTAAATATTGCTTATTGCTTTCGGTAAAATACTAGCACCATCATTATACAAACATTATTTGCAAAACGTAATATCAAAATGATTTTTGATAAAGTCGTGACAAACTTTCATTTTTTAATTTAGCCCTTTAAGTAATTTTAGATGAATTTGTTGATAATAAAAGTCCGCCTTAAGATAACGCAAATCAGAATCGATCCAGTAACGATCGTGATATACTTTCCCCTTTCGTTGAAATCCGACAATACACATCCTTTATGTCTCACGATATCCGCCAAAATATTATACGAACGAAAGTTATTCATAAAAATTACAAAATTAATTATAATTTACTAAAAATATTCTGATTTTGAAGCTTATTAAAGTTCGTACATAATTTTCCATAATAAAAAAAAAGTCTAAAAACTATTTAACATCGCACCAAGCTGCTTTCAGCGTATCGGCTCGTAGCTTGAATATAAGAAGCATTAACATAATTTAGTTTTAGTCCATAACCAAAAATATAGAAGGAGACACGTGTCCCAACTATTTTAAAACAAGATCAGTTAATCACCAGCTCAAAAAACAGTACAATACTACAGATGTACTTAATTGTCACCTGCGCAGGTGTGAGACAGGTGGTAACTTTAGGTATGGGAAAGTTTTGGTGGATATGTTTATGATATTGGCAAAACAAAAACTACAAGGCAAGGATCTAGTCTGCTAAAGACCGAGATTATTTTCTTTATACCCGAGAACAAGTAATCAGACACTCCACTTATTATTATATTTATTTCCACTTAACCTCCTGGAAACGCTGGATCGCTGTGGCATTGTACCTTACCTAAGTTTAATTGTTACACACAAATCAAATATCAGGATAATACTATTAGAAAACGCAAAACTATATTTCCAAGTTAATCCTGACATTTAAATACTGAAGAGTGAAGAACACTTGTTTGTAATTATCCGAAGTGGTCAGTTCCAGCTATTATTATTGAGCGCAACTTCAAAGCATTTCAAAGTAACTTCAAACGATGACCCATTTTCTTTATTAGTGGTAATCCTCTGTCGATTGCTTCAAACGAATGTTACGAATCTTAGGGCTGCCGCTCAATCACAAATGTTTTAATACAAGGATACTCAAGCTGCGCGAAATGCGCTTGTATTAAAAGTGTAATGCAATTTCCATTAGCCATTTGAAGTCTATAGAAAATGTATGTTTATAATATACTATATCTATACGAAATATATAAATTACAGACTGCGTGACTACTTAATTACTAACTCATATTTCGACAGAAAATACACTTTGCCGATTGAACATGTTTAATAAAGAGAAATTTTCAATTTTGCGTTTTAAATTATAAAACTGTCCCGTGGCGTTCTTTACGCACAGTCAATCACATAATTAAGTATTTTAAAACCCGCGATATATACGAGTATATAATATGTATGTTTGTAACCCTGACTGTCCTAGTTGCAATAAATGGTGCGCTGTAATTAGCGCAGGATCGTCTTACACGCGTGACTCAGGCGCATGCGGTTATTGTTTTCATAACCTTATGTCGCGCACTTGATTTCAAGGTCCTTACGTTTATAAAGGACTTTTCATATGAAAAAAAGCGTACTTATATATTATAAATGTAAATGCAATATCCTGCCTATCAATAAGCCGCGTTAACTGTGAATTGTGATACTTCTGTATGAATACAATATAATCACAATTTAGGGTTTGAACTAACTACAATACAATTTATGCATTTGACATTTTCCTTACCAAAGAGGGTGCGTGGAAATATTATAGGAAGCGGGAAGTCTTTGACAGTATTTAGTTGTAGTAAGAATTTCGTTTTTCTTTTAAAAATTAACTTTAATATTTATATTTCAGTATTCTTTTTTCATGTACTTAATTTTTCCAATTAAAACATATTTAAAGAACATTCAAATACTTTTACCAACATATATAAAAGTGTTTAGAGTGACTACAATTTACTGGATTCGTTAAATCCCGTCGGAATCCAAGCCGCGAAGGCTGATTTCAATCGAATCATTTATGTAACAGAATAACAATAAATTTTGATATTATTATGCAACCCCCCCTCCCTGTACCCCCATGGAACAAAACGTGAGCAATAACCTGCATCCTACACTGCACTTATATTTTCAGTATGTTAAATTATACGCAAAATCTATGCTTTCCAACTTGACATGGGCATAAAGATCAGTGTTTTCCGACCTTTATTGTGCCATGCTCCACCTTAGCCTTCCTAGAATTTTTATACTCCTATGTTACAAACATAATTTCTAATATTAAAAAAATAATTGTTTAATTTAGAAACCTAAATAGTAGGTTTTAGGAAGAAATTACTAGGAAATGGAACGTGAACGAAACACAAATATGTAAATTTTCAAAACAAAGTGATTATAAAATTCCAAATAATTTTAATAAATTTCGAATAGTTCTCGTCGGGAAACACTGGTATCGACACTAACACTGGACAAACGTATTCATAAATAAAGAGTAACTGAAGCAATAATGTCATGCAAATTCAAAACATGAGGTACGGAAAACTCGTCATCAATTATTGAAACGGCATGTAGCTAATTGGTCGAAATAGAAAGAGGAATGTCTGATTATAGCCTTCGAGTAATTACTTAGTGGAAAACACTAACGGACATAACATCCGTATATAGATGAGGAAGCCAGATAGAAAACCAATTAGCGCGGCCAGATTTAGTGTGGCCGGAATTAATTTAGAGAGAAAAAGATTCCATGAGGACTAATTAATGTGCATGGTACTTTGTTCTTCAGTTAATTGTTGCAATAGGATTTGAATCTTAGGATCAGCTTTTTATGCTGGAATCTGTCACATGAAAGCTACCGCTTATAACCGAAGCAGAATTAAACAAACGAAAAGAATTAGTCTATTATGAAGCACTGACTAATTGTTATCTTGTTACCCACAACACATATGAATTTTGTCACAACCTATTCGTCATGAATAAAGTTTTTATAATTATTATTACTCCACTGTTCAAACTTTTTGGAGTTTACTCCATAATAAACGATTTGAGTTATAAGGCCCGGTACGGAAATTTTATGAGGAGTAAAATCAAGTGTAACACGAAAAGTTGAGGCGTTATGTAGAAAGAGACAAACATATATATCTGTAGGATTGAACGTGTAAAAGAATGAGATGGAATACATTACACAGACTTTTCTATTTTGAATTCACGTTTTGACAGCCACGTTACAACATTGTCAGTGTTGACAGGTGTAAAAAATAAAAGTAGATTGTCTAGCGTGCCATAGAGTTTTTTCAATAGTAATGTAAACTAAAAATATTGTTCATTCTTATTCTTCTCTTACTATAAAGATAACTTTGGTCACAGAAAGAAAATCCTATTTGGGCATAGATGATGTAGATACGTTTTATTACTACTACAAACATTTATATTATAAAAACATATATTCTTACCACCTTTAGCATGAAAATATGGTCGACAGCCACAGAACATTATCGCCATTTTATCGTTCGTAAGGAGTAAACTCCAATCGTGCGTCGTAGGTGACACACACACACTTTTTTTTTTGGCTAAGGGCGCTAGATGACTTTAAATTGTAAAAAGCATATTTCACATTTATGTAGATCAAAATTTTTGCGACATTTTACAATATCGTGAGATTTTCGAACAGTATTTATAATTATACGGTAACACTGCGTTCATCTGGAATCAAAATATTTAATCTTCCAAATAAAATCACGAATTAACAAAAGCATAGACCACCTTAAACTTGTTAAAAATATCAGATAAGACAAAAGTTTGTATTGTTCGCTGTTATGAAACAAAAATTCACATAAACAGATATCAGTGCGTTCACCTCTCGGCCAAAACGATAACGGCTCGGCGCCGGCGCAGCTCGATGTTTTACCAATTAATTTTATTATCCCAATGAATCATAGCTGTCGGTATCTATTACTCCATATTGCCTTTAAATAACTTAAAGCTAAATTATAAAAGTTACTTTTAAATTTACTAGAATATTACATTTTGTCATTTTATTATAGTAGGAATTAGTATAAATCTGTAATTTATAAGCGACATATACACTATACATAATGGTTACTACACACGGTTAAGCGACTCAAGTATTCAGCCCCTATCTTATGACATATTTTTTGACTTTGCACTATTTTACCCCGGAGTGTGGTCAGAGGGGTTGTTCGTATTAATACCGGTAGCATCGGACGTCGAGGCAGAATACGAAATTCCACCCGTATCACCTTGATATCCGTCGTTCCACAACTGAGCGATTTTAAAGCAGTTTTTGCCGCGCACCACAACTATGTGAGCTGCCCACTGAAGTATTTCCGAATCAATTCGACGTAGGGTTCTTCAAGAAAAGAGCGTAGCAATTCTTAATACGCCTGTTCTATAAAAGTTCACTATGCTGGTAGTAATTACTATTTATTAATATTTTCGTTACCAGTAAACTAAAACATTGTAAGCGTTGCATGAGACTTCAATGAGTAATTGAACACATTTCACTCTTGAACGTTGTAAAATTGGATACATGTTGGCAGGTTGTTAAGCAATTATTAGAATCAATTTGCAGCCAATTATTCAATCTCAAATGTCGATTGACATAATATCGCTCACATTTATCGAAGAATGCGCTTTCGAACGATTATCTTATTCTCGATGATTCCGTTCCGTAGCTCTGTTTACATGTATTTCATGAAAATAAAAAAAAATAAAATAAATTAATTGTAATTGGAATTATTATGAAATAACTTTTGTTAGATAACATATTTTGTATAAAAGCTTTCCAAATAAAAACACAAACTTGTATCTACCGTCTTCCAAATTAAAATTTAACCTTGACCCTAACGTGAGTTCTGGATGTGCTCTTGTTTTTTTTTTATTGGATAGGGGGGCCAACTACCCTACGGGACGCCCAAAAGGGCGGTCATCGCAGCCCATGGACACTCATTTTAGTGGGTGCGTTGCCGGCCTTTGAGGGAGGAGTATACTCTTTAAACAATTGGAGGTCGTACCTCCTAGTGAAGACCCTCACTGGAAGACGATTCCACAGCTCGTTAGACACATTACCAAGGGCGTCGGTAACCGATTGTCAATGGGGCAAGGGGCCAAAAGAAGTAGGTACAGAGCAGAAAAATTACGAGTTGTGTATAAGTGAAACTGGTTTTGACTGTACAATGAATAAAACAAAGTAACTAATGAGAAATATCTTCTTCTACTATATAAAAATAAGTCGGGTTTTCCTTCCTGACGCTATAACTCCAGAACGCACGAACCGATTTCCACGGTTTTGCATTCGTTGGAAAGGTCTCGGGCTCCGTGAGGTTTATAGCAAAGAATATTCAGGATAAATTTCAACAGAAAAGCGGGAACACCAAACGAAATGTTACATAAAACGAAGCCATCTGGTGGCGAAACGGAGTTCGCCGAGTTTGCTAGTTTGCTATATAAATTTAGACAAATTAATTATTTCAAAAAGGGCTTTTCGGTTCTCTAGGGCCTCTAGTTGGCGACGCCCTTACACTATTATAGAACTGTGGAAAGCAGCAGTGTATGTGATCAGTCTTCTCTGACAAAACGGAAATAATTATTTTTTTGTTGATTTAAATCCAATTTGCAACATTATTACATTAGAAACGGTCCTTTGATGTTATGTATTAAGTTATAAGAATATGTAAACGTATAATGGTGATAACTGATAACTATTTTTTTTTCAGGGACGACACAAGCGCAACGCAACATTTCCCGGGGGACAAACGGCCAGTTTATTGCAGTCTACTACTACAAGAAGTAAGTTCAGTTACTACAAAAAATATTCTAGAATCTAGATCGTTATAGAAACTTAAAATTAGTTTAATGAGTAATTGTGATTTAAAATACCTTTATATATAATTGCAATAATTACAGTGAAATTAATTATTAATATTTTAAGTTTAAAACATAACATCGTAATCACAGCAATAAATCTCTCATTTTAACGGTTTAAACGTATTTTATATGGCTTGGCTTTGATATTAAAAAGTTAATATTTATTATGATTTTTTTTTAATTTACTAAATCGATTTATATTTTCCCAAGGATATGTCTTTCACTTTCGAAACAGCCTTTTGCTAGAATTCTGCTGCTACAATAATCATGATCAAGTATATATTTTATATACGCAAGAAATAATCTAGCTGTTTATTAGTGGCAGAAATTTTAAAATCGATTCAGTAGTTTTAGAGATTACATCCTAATAAAAAAATATCTCTTTAAATTGCTTTTCATCACTAAATAATAATATTCTTGGTATACGTCGAGGCTCCATCTCTAAGTAACAAACGTATCACCTTCCATAAAGCTCCTGTGATTGCAGAATACTCAGCAGATGCATCAACTCTGCGTGATGCTGCAGACTGCAGCAGGCCCCGGTACAACTGTGGGGGAACCACCACTTGGCCAGGTCCGAGGGTACAGCCGCCGCAGCCTGAGATACCGAGCCTTACACCAACCAATGTCGACACCAAAGGTAATAATAAAATAGTAATAGTTTTTTCGATAATTTTTATTCCATAGACAAGTAGGTGATCAGTCTTCTGCCTGACAGTCTAAGATATTCGTTTATTAAAACAAAGCAACGAATCTACCTACAACCTTTTTGGTCTGGGCCTCAGATTTCTCTATCTGTTTCGTGACAATTCCGTACTATCCGAAAGTGCCTGACATACCTATATCGATTTTTTGGATCTACGGCATGCCGGTTTGCACTATATTTTTCTTTTACCGTACAACCGAGTGAGATCTCAGAGATGAGAGTCGCACGCTGTAGCCACTAGACCAACACTGCTCCTCGACATTAAAGAGTCTTCCTGATTATATGATTCGAATATCTGATAAGATGCTGTGACCGCTAAGTATATTTTAGCTTAAATATGTAGTTGACAGTAACCTAAATCTTTATCCGCAAAACCTTGTCAATATCGAGAGTGAAGTGAAAATTAAAATCATCTAAATTCAACCCGAATATCCCACTATAATGGATTAATTAACTAAATGTGTTAGCTATAAACTATTGCGTTAGCAGAGGGAAATAAATAACATCCGCGCATTTCGTTTGACAGTTATTTGCATATAAATTCACGTCCTTGATAACCTGAAGTAGCTTTTCATTGAGTCGGCACTCCCACCGTGACGTCAGCACCGGCATGCATCTGATACAAGCTTTGGCAATAGATGAGAGACTCTTCATAATATTTCGTAACGAATCGTATAAGAAGAGAAATGTTACAAAATTATGATAGGGACAATTACGGGTCTCCTTAGTAAACATCTTTGTACTTGGCGCGACAGACAGTCCCTTGTGTTGCGGCTATTTCAGCGCAGAAGAATCAGTCACCCACGTGGTCCTGGAATACGTGGCTGTGGTTTCCCAACGAACAGAAATCCTCGGAGCAGTGAGGTCGCTCCGTGAAGACTGCGAAGTGCCCGGGAAACTTCTAAGGTTCTGGAAGGAGCTAGACTGATTGAATTAGCCAGAACTTAACACAACGGACCAAATGGGCGCCTAAGTGCGGAAACTGAGTCCACACTACATACATACATAGTGACTAATTCATCCTAATTCAACGTAGATATAGTCTAACACTAACATATGTGATTTTACATAAATGAATATGTATCTATACCTATATATCTCATACTAAAAAATGTTAACCCTGGATCTTAAATCTTCTTTTACCCAATTTCAAAATTTTACCTTATCATACTGGCATTTCTTAAATTAGTTTATTTTAACGCCTCTTAAATATTTTAATAAAAATAAATATTAGCGACATAATGTTTACGTGCGGTTAAATGTAAAACGTCCCGTTAAAGTCCTACCCACTTCATGGTGTTCGTGTAGATTTGCATTTCAAATTTTGTCCCATGAGTTTATAATTGCAAACCTTATTAGTGCAACCTAAATAATTGAGAAACGTCCGAAGTATTCAAATATTTGTCAATTAGCGGAGAATATCTTTGGGTAAATAAACGAACGAGTAATTTAAATTACAGCTATTTTACACGGCATTCTATAATCTATAAATTTTTTAATACTTTTTCATTTTAATTTAAATTCCGCAACCAAATTAACTCACAATCACTACTCTGCTGGTTCTGCGACCTAAAATGGGTGTGTATGAACCTGTGCCACTTACAGCCTATTTCTTTTAGCTGCAGCAGTTCCTGCTCCACTATCCACGGCTAAGGTATGCTTCCTTCACTGCCCTATCTTGGCCCACGGGCTAAATATTAATATATCAGAACTTTCAATAAGATTCGTAAATATCTATTAGACAACCTTTTTAATATAAAAAAATGTACCAATATTCGTTTTACATACTTGTTTCTAAGCATTACGACACAAAATTAATAGCAATTAGTAATTCAAAAACGCCGTGTAGAATTAGTATTAAATTATTCGTTTTTATAAGTTTAATTATTCGTTCGTTTATTATAGCAGTTTTGGCCTAGTGGCCTCAGCGTGCAGATCCCTGAGGTCGTAGGTTCGATCCCCGGCTGTGCACCAATGCACTTTCTTTCTATGTGCGCATTTAACATTCGCTCGAAAGGTGAAGGAAAAAACCGACTTGCCTTAAACCCAAAACAGTCGACGTCGTGTGTCAGGCACACAAGGCTGATCACCTATTTGCCTATTAAATTGACAAATCATCATAAAACAGATACGAAAATCTGAGGCCCAGACCTAAAATGATTGTAACGCCTTTATTTATTTTTTTTATTTAGTCAAAGAAAACTCAAATGATAATGTCTTTACTTATAGAAAAATGTCAATGATGAAAGAATATCTTTCAAAAAATACAGTTTGTAATATTTTTGCCGTTGTTTATATTAAGTACAGCAAACATCCGTCTATGCGCTAGACATCGCGTCAATTACTGCACCGTTATCACCACTATTAATTGATTAATACACGTTCTGCATATATTTGCATTTACCGTTTTCTACTGAGCTAATCAAGGTTTAGTTATTTCAACTAAAATAAATATTACTCTCTGCAAATAGGTTGGTAGGTACTTTACTTTAATCAGAGGGTTTTAAAAGGGGACTTATACAGATATGTTATTCATAAACTAAAAATGCACCGCAATAACCCTTTTCCTTGTCCGTTGAGTGACCTGACAAAAATTCTAAATATTCTTTAGATAATTTTTTTGCTCCATGAGTGTATTTTTTAGATTTAAATTCTTCTTTATTTATATAGAACACGGACAAACAATCAGGACGCTCACCTGATGTTAAGTGATACTGCCGATGGACACTCAATGCTAGAGAGCTCGCAAGTGCGTTGCCGGCTTTACTTGATTTCGGGTCTCTAATAATAATTTTTACGTGTACCTACTAATAGTAGTACATGCGCAAACGGTGCAAAATCTGACCAAGCCTACCAATTGACAATATTCCTATATCAAAATTTGAAGCTGAAACGCAACCGCAGACAGACCACAAATTGACTTTGAACTAATTCTTCAAAAACTTTTTGAACACTTTTTCTTAGTTTGGATATTGCTAGTACACCACTAGCATGAATATCAATTTGACTCGAATTTTATTTCGACTTAGACGCGGAACATAAATTTCGTTGTTTAAATCAATATTACAATTCTTTACTATTAATTAATTATTATAAGTTAGTAAAAATAATAATTGGAAATAAATAATGACTTCGTACCCCATATAAAAATAAATAAATTATTGTGTAATACATTTAATTGTCTTGGTAATACAATACAATACCAATAAACAAATAAAAATACTTTTTAGTGTATTCTGAAGTTGGTTATTTTTTTATATCTTGGCTTGTCTTGTGTTTTCAAATTGTGTACATTACATTATTTATTTATCAAAGATAGTATATCGTTAATCAATATAATTCTTTGACAACTATTAAATCAACTCTTTTAATACCGAAAACGCGCTCGCTCACGTTAATTGACCCGTGTAAAAAACTCAAGTTAATTAATCATACAAAATAAATCCTTTCACATCTTAATTAGCGAAAACGATAATCTAATATGCATTTTAAGCACTCTATCACTCGCGTTTATCTACATTAAGTTGGCAAAGGCATGCGTGTGCGCACCTGGCTGATCCTAATTACTGATCTAACGGCGTTAGGGCTAACCTTTAATTAGAGATTACAAATCAAGATATATACTACGAGTCTTAATAATTGGCACATTCATTCACTTGTGTTTCTATGTATATAATAATAATAAGTTTTATTAGTCTGTGTAATGTTATATTTCTTTCAAATCAAAATATGGAGATCAATCCTAATAGCCTTACGGTTTTTTAGAAAAGAGCGTACTAATTCTTAAAATGCCGAGAACGCATTTGCAACCCTTGAGAGTGTCCATGTATCAATTAATTCAGGTGTAGCTTCCAGCCCGTTTGCCTGAAAAAACATTTATAAACAATTCAAAATTAATATTTACTACTTAGCTCTCTTTGCGGGCGTAGAACCGACGAGGTAAGAGACGCTCCGCCACTCTGTTTAATCCCTAATTTTAGTTTAACAAGATTTTTATGAAATCTCATAGCATATTGAAGCAATCAATCATAGTAACAAAACACATTACTGAAATATGAAACCGAACCGAAAAAGTTATGCCAACGTTTCACTTTGGTTGCAGTCAGGTCAGGGGATTTATATTGTTACTATAATGGAGTAATTTATTCGTGGTGCGACGTGAATAATTACTTAGGTCGTTACAATACTACGTGATAGCTGTTCGCCGATATTTTAACAATAACACTATACCAATTTACTTGTCATTGTAAGGTCTTTTTCTCTCGTATTGAGAAATCTGTGAGAACCTAATTATTTCTTATGTTGCTTATAGACTCTAGTGGATGTCCTCGGATCAGCTGTTCTCTGTAATCTGTTAGGTTTTATCACAAATTACCTGTATTATTTAACTAATTAAATATCGTTTTTCATATTAGCCTTGTCTTGCTGGTATCTCACCTCGTTAGACATCGTCATACTGTATATATAGAAGCCGGCAAACTTCTTGAGCATTAAACAAGGGAGTGGGGGAAACTTTGCGCATCGCGGGACACAAACGTCAACTGATTTACCAATCACGCGACCGACACGTTACTCTATCTATCCCCCCCACCAAGTGATACCTAAAAATCGCTTCTGCGCAGGCAAGGACATTTGTTCAAGATGTTTGCCGGTATCTGTATGAAGACTGAAAACATATAGCTAGCAAAGTGGCATTATAAATATATAGACATTCCATACTTGTTTTCCATTTGGAAAACATAAACGCTCATCCTTCGTGGCTTAAATATTTTCAATGAATTGTTAACACGTCGCTTATTATTCACATACATTACATACTGAAATGTATGTGAATAATATATTTGGATCTAAGGCATCCCGATTGTCACACGATGTTTTCCTTTACAGTAGGTATAAGCGAGTGTTAAATGCGCATATCGAATGAAAAGTTTATT